TACCCATCCAACCCCAAGATCTGGCAGATCCTGCCAACACTAGGCACCAACACAGACTCTGCATCAAAGACTCTTCATCCTTTATGGACAAAAACTTAGAATGCAGCCAAAGGTATACAAAGCACTACAAAACATAAAGAAAACGTGCAGGGAGATGCATTCTCAGGTGAGCCAAGTGGTGCAATCTTTGGAGTGAGTAATGGAATATGAGTTCCATTATATATGTATGTATTTATGTATGTATGTATGTATGTGTGTGTATATATACACACACACATATAAAATTTTTAAATCTAAAAATATATATACTTTTTTAAAATCAAAACTGATTTTTTTTCTGATCCTCAGTAGTGGAATTTTTATTTTTAGTTTGACAAATGACTCTATGTATTTAAATAAGTTATATAAAGTAAAAGAGCTCAGATGGAATAACAAAAAAATTCTTAGCATGTGTAATTCTACATTTTGTGGTCTTAAATGTGAGCATGGAGAAGGATAAACTATATATTGACTTAATTTTCAATTTAGATTTTACAGTAGTGGGATTTCCAGTAGATTTTCCAAAAATAAATCACAGTACTATCACTCAGACTGTGATTCTCAAAGCCTTTCAAGCAGTGACGCTTAGTATTGGAATAGCTCTGAAGCTTTGAGGACAAAGCCAGCTCATTGTTATGCTGTACGAGGAGCTGCAGTGTGATCTCAGAGGCACAGAACTAATATTGTCTTCACTTGGACCTCTAGATGGAACATAATTAGCACACCTCAGTTGATGCTGGTCCAGGGCACTGGTTTGTAACCCTCCCACTCTTGTGAAAATCCTTTTAATTGCTGTAAAGAACTCATATTCCATTACTCACTCCAAAGATTGCACCACTTGGCTCACCTGAGAATGCATCTGCCCTGCATGTTTTATGTTTTGTAGTGCTTTGTAGACCTTTGGCTGCATTAGAAGTTTTTGTCCACAAAGGATGAAGAGTCTTTTATACAGAGTCTGTGTTGGTGCCTAATGTTGGCAGGATCTGCTAGATCTTGGGGTTGGATGGGTAGTCATAGAGAGGGGACTTAGAATAATTCTTTTTTTTTTTTTTGAGACAGTGTCTCACTCTGCTGCTGAGGCTGGAGAGCAGTGGTATGATTATGGCTTACTGAAGCCTCGACTTCCCCCGGCCCAGGTGATCTTCCTACCTCAGCCTCCCAAGTAGCTGGTACTACAGGTGCATGCCACTATCCCTGGCTAATTTTTGTATTTTTTTGTCGAAATGGGTTTTGCTATGTTGCCCAGGGTGGTCTCAAATTCCTGAGCTCAAGTGATCCACCTGCCTGGCCTGTGCTGGGATTTACAGGCGTGCACCACCATGCCTGCCAAAATAATTCTTTATAGGGAAATTACTCATTTATTCTATCTGGCAGTGATTGCATATCTGCTTGGATGAGATATTCATATTTATCAATCAATAATAACTGGGAGGGTTTTGTGTGTATTTTGAAGCTCCAGTGTTAGGTACGTTCTCATTTAGGATTAAAGTCCCATGCTGAATTGACCCTTTTATCACTGTATAATGTTGCTCTTTATCCCTGGTAATATCCCTGGTTGTGCAATCTATTTTGTTTGATATTAATCTAGTTACTTTAGTTTTCTTTTGCTTAATGTTCATAAGGAATAGCTTCCATCTTTTTACTTTTAACATATGTATGTCTTTATATGTAAAGTGGGCTTTTAAAAAAACAACATATAGTTAGTTGAATCATGCTTTTTTATCTAATCTGACAATCTCTGCCTTTTAACTTAGTGTTTAGGTTCTTTAGTTTTATCATTATATGGTTGGATTAAGATTTATTTTGCTGGATTTATATTTGTTACATCCATTCTGTTTTTTTTTCTCTTTTTTTCTTCCTTATTTTAGATTAATTGAATATTTTAATGATTTACTTTATACTATTGGTTTATTGTTTATACCTTAAAAATGTATTTAATGGGCTGGACCTGGTGGCTCATGCCTGTAATCCCATCACTCTGGGAGGCCAAGGCAGGTGGATCACTTGAGATCAGGAATTTGAAACCAGCCTGGCCAACTTGATGAAACCCCGGCTCTACTAAAAATACAAAAAAACTTAGCTGGGCATCATGGCGCATGCCGGTAATCCCAGCTACTCGGGAGGCTGAGGCCCAAGAATCACTTGAACCTGGGAGGTGGAGGTTGCCAACGCCATTGCACTCCAGCCTGGGTGACAGAGCAGACTCCGTCTCAGAAAAAAAAGTATTTATTTAGCGGTTGTCCTAGAGTTTACAATATACATCTTTACTCTCAGTCCACCTCCAAGTATTATATTGCTTCATGTGTACTATAAGGACTTTTGAACAGTATACTCCCAATTCACTCCACCCATTCTTTGTGTGATTGTTGTCACAATTTTACTTTATATATGCTTTTTTTTTTTTTTTTTGAGATGGAGTTTGCTCTTATTGCCCAGGCTAGAATGCAATGGTGCTATCTCAGCTGCAACATTTGCCTCCCAGGTTCAAGCAATTCTCCTGCCTCAGCTTCCCAAATAGCTGGCTGGGATTATAGGCATGCACCACCATGCTGGCTAATTTTTGTAGTTTTTTAATAGAGATGGGGTTTCACCATGTTGGCCAGGCTGGTGTCAAGCTCCTGACCTCGTGATCCGCCCTCCTCGGCCTCCCAAAGTGCGGGGATTACAGGCATGAGCCACTGCACCTGGCCCTATATATGCTATTAAACACAGAATACATTGCTACTATTTCGCTTTAGGCTATCAATTATATTTTAGAGCATTTACAAATGACAAAAACGATTTTTATATTTATCTTTATATATACTGTTACCAGCACTCTTCATTTCTTTGTATAAAGGCAGATTTTTTTCTGGTAACATTTTCTTTCTGCCTGAAGGATTTCTTTGAACATTTCTTGTATTTAAGGACTGCTGGTAATACATGATCTCCATTTTTGTTTATCTTAAAAAGTCTTTATTTCTCCTTTATTTTTGAAATATATATATATATATATATATATATATATATATGTTTTACTGGGGTGGTAGATTTTTCTTTCAGTACTTTAGAGATGACATTCTGTTATCTTCTGGCTTGGATAATTTTGTCAAGAAGTCAGCTGTAATTCTTATTGTCATTCTTCTCTGGTGGTATATTCTCCCACCCTTCAAACCTTTTGGTTTGGTTTTGGTTTTCAGCACTTTGAGCACTGTATTGCTTTTTGTATTTATCCTGCTTGGTGTTTTCTGAGCATCTTAGACTTGTAGTTTGGAGTCTTTCATTAACTTTGGAGAGTTCTTAGACATATTTACTGTGTCCTATTCTATCTTCTCCTCCTGGTATTCCAATTGCATGTATGGGAGTCTGTCTGTTACTGCCCCACAGCTCTCTGGTCTTCTATTCTGTTTTATTTACTCTTTTTTTCCTCTTTGTGTGTTTTAGTTTGAGACATTTCTATTTACCTATATTCACATTTACTGTTTTTTTTTCTCAACTGTGTCAAGTCTATTGATAAGCCTTCTTCATCTGTGTTACTATACTTTAAAATTATAACATTTGATTTTTTAGTCTCCAACTGTCTGATGAAATTTTCCATCTGTTTATGCATCTTGTTCACCTTTTCCACTGAAGTCTTTGACATATTTATCATAGCTATTTTAAATTCTTTCTCTGACAGTTCTAATATCTGGGTCACATCTGAGTCTGGTTATCTTGATTACTTTCAATCTTGATAGTTTTATGTTTCCCCCCCCCTTCTTTTTGTGTCTAATAATTTTGAATTGAAAGCTGGACACCTTGTTTGAAACCGTAGACATGGTATTTACGCCTGGAAATGGTCATACCTCTGTTTTTGCTGGGCCTTTGATGTGCGTATTGGGTTAATGTAGTAAGGAATTGAACTGTATCTGGGTTTTTACCACTGCTATGGCTACCCTCAGTGCTTATCACATTTGAAATTTTTCTAGTGTTACTTTGTGTTTAGGGCAGGCATTGCATCACCATAGGGGTTTTCTCCATGCTCTGTCCCACCCTCAGCTTTGGTTGTGAACCTGTACATCAGAGAGGCTTTCACCTCTTGCTCTGCCTCTTCCTCAGAAGTAGACTGTTGTTACTTGATACTTGGCACTTGCTAGCCTGGAGCAGAGGGAGGGCATTCTCCTGTTCTAGTTCAAACTCAGTGTTAGGCAAGTGCTGTGTTCCTAAGTTTCGGGAGTGGGAACTTCTTGATGATCCTGCTCCTCCCCAGTGGTAGAAAATCTCTAATAGTCTGGGCCCAGGATAATTTTGGCTCTTCCCCAAGGGTGAAGGAGTTTCTTTTTCCATTCTCTAGAAGCAGTTGATATCAACTGGTGCTCTTAGAATGATAGGGTTTGAGGCATTTTCCCAAGTGGTTGAAGATTTTATTCAGTAATGGAAATGGAGAGAGGATCTAGGTGAGGTTTTGTGTCTTTTCCACAGTGCTGCCCCTTCCCTCCTTGGGCCTCCACCATGAGGGAGGCTTTGTCTGGTCTTGTGCCTGCCCTCACTCCTTCTTGTATTTAATGAGATCCATGGAGAAGATCCTGCAAGTGAGTATAAATTCTGCTTGTGTATGTGAGTCATAGTGGTTCTATATTCTGTGCTAATCCACTAGACTTTCAGCGGTTCATGACATTTTTAGGTGAACTCTGCCCCTGGTAAACAAGTTGCATCTCATTTTTCTTTGGAGGATCCTATCTTTCCTTATATTGCAGGATAGTTAGTTGTCCTGTGACTTTAGCTCTTTGGTGGGTCTTGGAAAGGTTAAGATTTTGTAAATTATACAGTTTTTCTTTCTTTTTTTAAGTTAGGAGCAACTCTTCAGCTTTCTACATCTGGGAATGCCTTTACTCACAGACTTTTCAAGACCTGAGATTTGAGTTTTGCTGTTTCATTTGGGTGCAGTTAAATACTGACTCTCAAATGAACTAGCATTAAAAGCATAACTTATATCCTTGCAGAAACTTGGGGACTGTGGCAGCCGTGGAGCCAGTGTAGCACCACATGTGGGGATGGTGTCAGAGAGCGTCGCCGAGAGTGTCTCACTTCTTTCCCCTCCAGACCTCGCTGCCCTGGAATGTCCTTGGAGACCTCCCTGTGTTCCCTGGAGGAGTGTGCTGGTAGGTATTCTTGCTTCCTTCAGGAGTCTCTCCTCGGATCCTTCATCAGAAGGTGTATTGAACCCAGGTCTGCCCAAGAGTTACAAGTCTGAGATCAAGAATAGATTCATGAATGCTCTGTGATTGCTGTTGGTTGTACCAGCCCTTTATTCACTAGTGTATCTAAGACTGGGAATAGCTGGGAGAGTAGCTTACCAGTGACATGATGGGATTTACCACTGTAGAAGATAGGGATATGATAAGGAAATATTAAGAATTCAGCCATATTAAATCATTTCTAAAAATGCAAAAAATGGAGAAGGGACCATTTCCTCATAAGATTTTTTTTTTTAATTTCTCCCTCCGTTTTTCCCCACCAAAACTGTGGAAAAACAATTTTCCTTAAGTTTTCTCCCTATCAACCCAGAAAAGCCAGGGGACGACATAGACCAGTATTTGTCAAAATGGGGCAGACTCCCTGTCTAATCCCCTGTGGCCTAAGTTATTCCTTACTGCCCCTACCCAGAGGGACATTTCTTCTTGCTCTCTTCTGGGGACTGGCCTTTCCTGCATCTTCTAAGCATCTTCAAGGCACATGCTAGTAGCTGGTCAGTGAGTATGTGGTGTAAATGGTCTATAGGTAAGTTGCTCGCGTGGTTCAGTTAGGTTTGCCCCAGCTTATGAAGCTGAATCTTGTTCACTTACCACGAGTCACACACTGAATAGTCACTGCTTTTCCCACACACCGTCTCGTCTCCTGACAGACAATCCACATTGACTTGGCCAGTCTCTGCTCTGGTCCTGACTCTTAAAGTCCTGTCAAGTCCCGTCTTTTCGTACTCTCCAATTCCAGGTTAAGAGAGCATCTTAGTTCCTTGTTTCTTTGGGATCTGGAGGAGTTATGTGCTTTTCTGTGTTTGGTTCTCAAAGTACCTTTTAGCCCAAACCACAGGCACCTGGCAGCATCTCAGCCAGTGTCCCCACCTGTGGCCTTAGAAACTCCTTGCTGCTATATTATTTTCCCAGCCAGTATCATAGGACTTGTTCCCTTCATTCCATCATTTTTAGGATATTATTCTTTCTTCTGTTGTTTTTTTCTTATTGTAGCTTCTAGCCAGGCTCTTCTCCTAGGCCTCCATCTGCCTGTCTTCTTTCATAGGCCCTGCCCTGAATTCATTATTTCTTCAGTGATATTTTGGTCTGTTTCCTAAAGCTCTATTCTTTGTCTCCTCTTCTCTTTATAAGTCCTCTCCACTTTCCACAGACCTTCTGTGTCTATAACTTCCTTCAAATATACCTCATCCTCTCAATTCTGGGATGGGATCATGTATGCAGACATTTCATATCTGAGTTCCATAACACTCAGATGAATTTAAACTCAGTGGCCACTGGTGACTGCTATTCTTTTATATGTGACAAAAATATCTATTTATTGGTATTACCATTATTGATTATCTGCTATGTGGCAACACTTAAAATACATAATCTCACTTCAGGCTGACAGTAATTCCACAAAGTAGGTGTCATTGGGCTGGGCTCAGACTTCTTGAGAGCTTACTGCCTGCCAGGCATTTTTCTAAGAGCCCTGCACACATAAAGTAGGCATATTCTTATCTCTACATTGCAGATGAGGACCGTGGGGGATAGAGAGGATGAGTGGCCTGTCCACGACCATGAAGCTAGAAAGTGGGGGCACTAGATGTGACTCCTTGCCAAGCTACCTATCCTGAATACCTTGCTTTTATATACAGGACAATTTGGCTTTCTAGAAGAAGCCTCAACAACCTGGAATTAACAATCATTTTTAAGAAATGTGATATTACGTCATATTCTGGCATCTTAATTCTTTAATACTGAGTAGGAACTGGAAATTGGACATTTTAAGTTAGCAAGAAGAGTATGTCCTACAGACTCGCCTGCCTCTACTGTAAGTGGTCCTCAGATAATTGCTCATGTGGATAAAAACGATCCTTTCTTCCAAGTGTTCTCTTTCCTAGTCAACCTATTTTCCATTCTTTGGAAATGTAAAGATATATTCACAGGCTGCATAACATCAACAAATCTCCTTCAGTTCATGTGAAATAGGAAAAACTAGAGATAGAGATGGTTGAGGCCAGCAGCTTTTGGGCCTTTCTCCAGCTATGATTTTAAAGGAAGCCAGCCAGAGTAAAAAGATAACAGTTAATTGAAGAGGTTCACAGCGTGTCCTAGCAATGCTGCTACCCCTGTCATGAGGAGCCACTGTAGTTGAGGGAAGTGATCCATCAGGGAACAAGTCTGTCATCATTCAACTGTTTTCACTTGTTTGGGAGTTCAGAGGTTGGTTTGGCTTTAAAAGAATGTTCTTATGCCAAGGTCTGATTGTAGTTGTACATTATTTGGTCTACCTTGTTCAATAAGAGAGTAGTAGCACAATTAAATTGCTGTTTCACCTATGTTCCATCTGTTGGAATATTGATCATTTTGCTATTTCCTTTTTAATAATGAAGGAATGAATCACTAGTGTTTATTGAGCACTAACTATGCAAGTTACTGTGACTGTGGTTCGGAATGTATTAATAAGATATTACTGTCTAGAAGAGGCTTATAGTATCTCGGAAGGCACATAAACAGGCTTAATACTCAGTACAATATTACAGGGCCTACAATTAAAAATGTATCCACAGCTTGCTATAGAAGCTTTCAGGAGTAATAATCCAAGCTCAAAACATTTCCAGTCTTGGAGGAGGTGATAATTGTTTTGTTTTGTTTTGTTTTTTTGAGACGGAGTCTTGCTCTGTTGCCCAGGCTGGAGTGCAGTGACACGATCTCAACTCACTGCAACCTCTGCCTCCCAGGTTCAAGCAATTCTTCTGCCTCAGCCTCCCAAGTAACTGGGACTAAAGGTACATGCCACCAAGCCCAGCTAATTTTTTATATTTTTAGTAGAGATGGAGTTTTATCATATTAGCCAGGCTGGTCTCAAACTCGTGGCCTCAAGTGATCTGCCCACCTCAGCCTCCCAACGTGCTAGGATTACGGGCATAAGCCACCACGCCTGGCCAAGGAGGTGGTATTTGAGCTGAAATTTGAGAGCTGAGGTGTCCCCCAGGTGAAGTAGGTGAAAATGGGCGTTTTAGCAAAGAGAGCAATGAATGAAGGCATGGAAGATGGCACAGTAAGAGAACTGGAGAACTGAAAGTAGTTTAATGTGGCTGGATGATAGTGTGCCAGGGAGGGGTGGGAAACATGAGGCCAGCCAAGTAAACGGGGTCCATATCCTGAGGGGCTTTGAAGGTTGGGATCTGTGTTTTCGTGATATCTCTATCTGGCTGTAGCATGGAGTATAAATCAGAAGGTTAGGCACGGCAGCAGATGTACCTGTTAAAGAGTTTTTCAGGAACCTATGTGCAAAATGAAGTGCCAGCAATTGTGATGGAGAGAGAGGAGGATTCAGACTCTGTATGTGGCAAGTGATGGAGAAGGAGGCATAAGGGATGAAACCCAGGATTTTAGAACTAGAAACCGTGTGAACTGTGATTCCATTCCTTTGAGATCTTATATATCAGAGGAAGCACATGTTCTAGGCAGAGATGGTGAGTCTCGGACATTTTGAGATGGAGGTGGTGGGATATCCAATGGAGATGGTAGAGTTAATGGATCCAGGAATGGAATCTAGCTCTCCTTGGAGCTAAAATCCATGCTCTTCTCTCTAATTTACATAAGTGAATATTCCCACTGAAACCAAAAGGGAGAGAGAGAGTTGGAAGAGCTATCTAACAGTAGCCAATGCTGTAAAACGGACTCCTTTGCATTTGACTGTTGGGAGGTCATTCATAACCTTGGTGGCAGCTGTTTAATTGGAATATTGGGGATAGGTTGCAGGAGATAGAGGTGATGTAGCAGCAGTAAGCAAGGCAGACTCTTCTTTTCAGTAAGCATGACCAGGAAGACAAAGGGCAAGATACGGCTGAGAGTGTGAGAAGGGTCTTTTTAAAGTGAGAAGGGTCTTTTTAAAGTGAGAAGAGCCTGGCCGGGCGTGGTGGCTTGCGCCTGTAATCCCAGCACTTTGGGAGGCTGAGGCAGGTGGATCACAAGGTCAGGTGATCGAGACCATCCCTAGCCAACATGGTAAAACCCCTATCTCTACTAAAAATACAAAAATTAGCTGGACATAGTGGTGCACGCCTGTAGGCCCAGCTACTTGGGAGGGTGAGGCGGGAGAATCACTTGAACCCGGGTGGCGGAAGTTGCAGTGAGCCAAGATTGTGCCACTGGACTCCAGCCTGGTGACAGAGCAAGACTCCATCTCAAAAAAAATAAAGTGAGAAGAGCTTGAGTATGTTTCTATGCTGAGGAAAAAGAGCTATATGGAGGAGTAGCTAGAGATATTTGCTGCAGAGGGGCCCCTGGACAAGGGAGGCCTAGAGAGTATTTGCTTGTGGCCTCACCTTTTATAGGAGGACAGTTCTCCCACTGATCATGTGGAAAAAAGGTAAATAGAGGTGTGGCTGCTAATAAGTTTATGGGGCAGAGGAGGATGGCAGAAGAAGCCGGGCATGGACTTGCCTGATGACTTCTGTTTTGTGTGTGTGTGTGTGACCTACTAGAGTGCTAAGGAAGTGGATTGATAGGGGCTTAAGGAAGTGGTGAAATTGGGAGCAGGTGTTGTAGGGGACCCACCGAAGGATTTGTGGGCAGCTGAGGTTGGGTGCTGTGACTATGCGGGGGCACTGATCCTGCATGGTTGTGTCATTTTCTTCACCAGTGCTCAGGACCTGGGTGCAGCAGCTGGGAATTCACATGTCTGAGGTTCACATATCTAGGGTTGGACTTCTGCTGCAGAGCAGGGGAAGGGGTATAGCTCAGTGTTAGAGGTTGAGAGAGTTGAGGTTGTTGGAAGGAAAGTGGTTTCAGTAATAAATCATGGTTGTAAATTGGCTAGGGGCAGAAGTAAGGCTAGGAAGTGTCTGGCAGATACGAGAAAATGGAGGGCTGGAGAATCAGAAGTCTCAGTTTAGTAATAGTGAGTGAGTGAGAATAGTGAACACAGATAGAGAGCAGGTTGAGCAGTTTAACATTTTAGAAGAGGAGCAGATAGTGGGAAGGTTTGGATGGACCTGAAGTCACCTAGATGCTCCTAGCTCTGGGATAGTGAGAGAGGCTGGGACCCAGGTGCTAGAGTGACTGATGGCTAGTAGGAGGTTGGGAGATGATGGTGTTGAGGGAGGAGTGGAACAGTGGTTGGCCAGGATGGCATAGCCATCAAAGGAATGGAAGCTTTCTAGGGAGGTGAAGGGCGCAGATTGGAAATAGCAATAGGAATGAGCTTGAGGAGCACACTCTGCTGCTGGCCCTGTTTACTTCTAAAGAAAGTATGTGTGACAGCTTCCACTGAGAGGATTGGAGGAAACCAGGCCCTGCAGGGTAGTCTGGCTTCAGGTGGGACAAGGAGGTGAAGGTAGTGTTCTGTGGATCAGTTAGGAATGTTGGGAAATTTGTCATCAGCTGTCCCCTAGGGGATAGTGGGAGGACGGGTGGAGAAGATGAAGCACAGAGCTGGTGGTGGTGATACAACCATGGGAAAAAAAGCCATAGGACAGTGGACCAAAGGGGAAAGAGTTGGGAGCTGAGGGTCTCACGTTTCCAGGTGTTTCAGTGGCAGTACAGATAGAGGCTCCAGGTGGAGCCTACGTTTTGATGAAACATTTTGATGACCATGGGACAAACCAGTTTGAGCAAGCAGGGAAAAAGAAGAAAAATCCCCTCACATATAAGGTAGGAAGGGGAGTGGATGGCTGAAAATAGAAGAGTGAGAACTCAGAGGCTTTAACACTTAGGAAAGACAGCTTCTGGATATTAGAAGGGCTAAATGAGTTGTGTTATATTTTGCCACGTCTCATTTTCATCAATTAATTTCTCCTAAGATGTGCAAATGTAGGTACCTAAATTTGGCCTACCTAAATCATTTTGCATTTTGCATTTTATACTTGGTATTTTCTGATGTGCCTCTCAGAGGTACATTTAACTATAGGTACCACATTTACATTATCCTAAGTGAACACCGATTTTTACCTTGAAAATTTCTACATGCTACTTCTGTGTGGAAACTTGGAGGCCAATTCTAGCAGTAGCTGGTGAGCACAGAGTCACCTTGTTTATGGGTTAGCAGGTCACCTTGCTTCTGTAGGTCTCTGTGCAGTGTTTTCCCTTTGGTGATCCTGTTTAGCTTCAGCTGCTAGTAGAAATCCATATGTAAGACCAGAAATCCCAATCCTTGTATATGTTCCTTCATTCCTTAACTGCTAGATAATTCGAGCAAGTGACTCAGATACCTTAAAACTGAGCAGAGCAAACAATACTAGAAAATACGTATTGGGGGCAGGTGCAGTGGCTCACAGCTATAATCCCAGCACATTGGGAAGCCAAGGTGGGCGGATCACAGGTCAGGAGTTTGAGACCAGCCTGGCCAATATGGTGAAACTTCGTTTCTGCTAAAAATACAAAAAAACTAGCCAGGGTTGGTGGCACACGCCTATAATCCGAGCTACTTGGGAAGCTGAGGCAGGAGAATTGCTTGAACCTGGGAGGCGGAGGTTTCAGTGAGCCCAGATGGGTCCATTGCACTCTAGCCTGCGCCACAGAGTGAGGTTCTCTCTCAAAATAAAAAAATAAAATATAAATCTGTTCCTCTGTGTGTTTTTTTTGTTTTTTTTTTTTTTTCAGCTTTCCAGCCATCCAGCCCATCTCCTCTTCAGCCCCAGGGTCCAGCAAAGTCCAACAACATCGTGACTGTCACTGGCATATCCCTGTGCCTGTTCATCATCATTGCCACCGTGCTCATCACGCTGTGGAGGAGATTCGGCCGCCCCCCTAAGTGCAGCACCCCTGCTCGACACAACTCCCTCCACTCCCCCAGCTTCCGGAAGAACTCGGACGAGGAAAACATATGCGAGCTGAGCGAGCAGCACGGGAGCTTCTCGGATGGAGGAGACGGGCCCCCGGGGAGTCCGGGGGACACAGGCATCCCTCTGACCTACAGGCGGAGCGGGCCGGTGCCTCCCGAGGACGATGCCTCTGGCAGCGAGAGCTTCCAGTCCAACGCCCAGAAGATAATCCCCCCTCTGTTCAGCTACCGCCTCGCCCAGCAGCAGCTAAAAGAGATGAAAAAGAAAGGTCTGACGGAAACCACTAAAGTGTACCACGTGTCTCAGAGTCCCCTGACAGACACTGCCATTGACGCGGCCGCCAGCCCCCCCTTAGACTTGGAATGCCCAGAAGAAGCTGCAGCAAACAAGTTCCGGATCAAATCCCCATTTCTGGAGCAGCCTGCGGTCAGCGCTGGGGAAAGGCCTCCCTCCAGGCCGGATCTAAGTGTGACGCAGGCCAGCTGTGCCATAAGCCCCAGCCAGACTCTGATCCGCAAGTCACAGGCGAGGCACGTGGGCAGCAGAGGGGGCCATTCCGAGAGGAGCCATGCCAGGAACGCGCATTTCAGGAGGACAGCGAGTTTCCATGAAGCCAGGCAGGCCCGGCCGTTCCGAGAGAGGAGCATGTCCACTCTGACTCCGCGGCAGGCGCCCGCCTACAGCTCTAGGACGCGGACCTGGGAGCAGGCAGAGGACAGATCTAGGCCATCGAGTCGAGGCGCCCACCTGTTTCCTGAGAGGCTGGAGAATTTCCAAGGGGCAGGTGGAACCGATGGTCCATTAAGCCCTCTCCCTAAATCCTACACTTTGGGGCAGCCCTTAAGGAAACCAGACCTTGGAGATCGCCAGGCAGGATTAGTGGCAGGAACTGAGAGAACAGAGCCTCACAGAGCTCGTCGGGGACCGTCCCCCAGTCATAAGAGTGTCTCAAGGAAACAGTCTTCACCCATATCCCTCAAAGATAGCTACCAGAGGGTCAGCCCTCTGAGCCCTTCTCAGTGTCGGAAAGACAAGTGTCAAAGCTTCCCCGCTCACCCCGAGTTTGCCTTCTATGACAACACGTCATTTGGCCTCACTGAGGCTGAGCAGAGGATGCTGGACCTCCCAGGATATTTTGGGTCAAATGAAGAGGATGAAACCACAAGTACACTTAGCGTAGAGAAGCTGGTAATCTAGACTGAGAGTCTGCCTGAGCTTTATACAGCTGGGGTCTGCTACTCACCTTCTGTAGACTTTTGTGTAACTATTTGTGCCATAGGACAGAATGTGATGAGGAAGTAGCACACACAGAGGACGACGTGTGTGTATGCATGTGTTTCAAGTCACAAGGAAGGAATTATTTATCTTGAGCTTTTTCCTTTGTTATTCAGTTTCTATTGGTTTATTACTAATAACAATGATAATAAAATGTAAACGAGCAAATGGGGCTTGGTTTGTCATATGTGGATATGAAAGATAATATATGACTTTGGAGTAGGACATACTCTGAACAATGCATTGGCAGTTTCCAACCTGAAGCAGAAATCTGGAACCTCAACTAAAAATGGATGGAGCAAAGTTAACTTGGTGTCATAATAACTGTGAACTACAGTTTATTAAGTTTTTTTTTTTTTTTGAGACGGAGTTTCGCTCTTGTTACCCAGGCTGGAGTGCAATGGCGCGATCTCAGCTCACCGCAACCTCCGCTTCCTGGGTTCAGGCAATTCTCCTGCCTCAGCCTCCTGAGTAGCTGGGATTACAGGCACGCGCCACCATGCCCAGCTGATTTTTTGTATTTTTAGTAGAGACGGGGTTTCCCCATGTTGACCAGGATGGTCTCGATCTCTTGACCTCGTGATCCACCCGCCTCAGCCTCCCAAAGTGCTGGGATTACAGGCTTGAGCCACCGCGCCCGGCCGTGTCTGACTAATTTTTGTATTTTTAGTAGAGACGAGGTTTCACCACGTTGGCCAGTCTGGTCTTGAACTCCTGACCTTAAGTCATCTGCCTGCCTTGGCCTTCCAAAGTGCTGGAATTACAGGTGTGAGCCACCACGACCGATATACAAGTCTTCTCTAATAGCAGAAACATCAGGAGAAAACTGGCCCTTTTTGTTTGTAATAAGAGGGTATGAAGAGACACCTCTATTAGCTTTTCTCAGTGGAAGGAAGCTTTCTGCTGCTTGATGAAATGTTGACTGAGGTCTTGCAACTTGCTTTGTTTGGCAGTAAGGGCTAAACAAAAGAACCTAAAGGTTTTGTTCCTTTATTAGAAATCTATTGGCCCCGCGTGGTTGCTAACGCCTGTAATTCCAACACTGGGAGGCCAAGGCGGGTGGATCACAAGGTCAAGAGATCGAGCCTATCCTGACCAACAGGTTGAAACCCTGTCTGTACTAAAAATAAAAAAATTAGCCGGGCGTGGTGGTGCGCGCTTGTAGTCCCAGTTACTCGGGAGGCTGAGGCGGAAGAATCACTTGAACCAGGAGGCGGAGGTTGCAGTGAGCCGAGATTGCGCCCTGCACTCCAGCCTGGTGTCAGAGCGAGACTACGTCTAAAAAAAAAAAAAAAAAATCTGTCATAGTTACCACATGGACATTCTGCAATTTCATGTACTTCCTTTCAACCCTTGACTTTAATGACTTATCTGTATCCCTTGAGTAGCTGCAGTTTCCTCCTTTTTCGTGATCTCTCTAACTGCCACACCCTCCCTGCCTTTTAGATTATGTTTTCCTTCTTCCTTTTAGAGTTTATCAGGATATCAGGATGTCAGCCTGCTGGTGATGTTTCAGGGACCATTGGAGAGAGTGGAATTCGATGGGAAAAACATCACAAATGCAAATACTATCATTTAAAATTTTTCTCTCATATTTGTTGCATTGCCACTTCATTTGTGTCTTTTTAATTGAAAATCAAAATATAACTCCTTTTGGCAGTGTTTTAATATTAATTACCTTTAGGAATAGGAAGGGTAGATTATTCAGAGCTCTCTGACAGCTGGTATTTGCTGATGCCAGGAAGAGGAAACCAGACTTTTTAATCTTCATTTTCTTTGTCATACTAGAAAGTTTTGTTCTCTTTCCAGGTTCACAGGCCTGCCTCCAAACCTTTGAGGACAAAGGGTACATGCTCACTTGTTCTTGATTTCACAGTGATGTACCCTACAGTGTCATTTGGACCAAAACACATATGGGAAAGGTAGAAAGTAGAGGAAAACACTTTGAACAGACAGAAAGATTTTCTGTTAAATTATGTTCTTCTCCATCATATTCACATCTAACACCAGCATCTAACATGTTCACTCTCTACCTAGCCCAGTTTTCTGGAGCTCTAAGAATAAAATCTCTACATTTCAAAGTTAACGTAATTTGGTCTCCGCTTCTGAGAAAAAGGAAGATGCCTCAAGCATTGCCTTTGGTGGGCATGTGGGAAACTTCAGTATAAATAATCTGATCTTCACCTTTGTGTCCCTAGGTCCTAGCCCTAATGGCTGCCATAGAGTAGAACTGCAATAAAATTTGTTAAATAATTGACCAGCTATTGAAAAGCTTTCCAGAAACAGGGGAACACAAACTTCTACAAGAAACGAAAGGCATGCTGGCGTTAGATTGATCATCAGCGACAATGGAATAAAAACGGTGGAATAATAGCTTCAAAGTTCGGGAGGGGAAATGATTTTCGACTTGAGACACCTCTACCCAGTCAAATTACATGTGAGGCCAAAATAAAGACATTGTTACACATGCAAAGACTCAGAAAGCTTACCTTTCAGACACCTTTTCTTGAGGAGTCATTAGAGCATATACTCCAGTAAAACAGCAAAGTACCATGAGGAAGCCATGGGATTCAGGCTACAGCAGATGTGACCCAGAATGTCAGTTTTGTGGGTTACTAAGCCACCAGTTCATATCTGAGCAAGGATGGGGGATCCAGGAAACAAAGGTATTTCATGGAACACAGTTGAAAGAACTTGAAGATATACTTCAGGCAAAGAAAAATAAGAAAAGCACCTAGAAATTTTATTTTCCGAAAGACTCTACAAGAAAATCATAATACAAACATGAATTAAGTTAAACTGAGTCATCGATGAGCTTTCAAAAGAAAAATATTCCAAGCAATAGAATGGGTAAGATGGCACAGATTTCTTCTTTCAACAAAACACTGGGCAAAGCCACAACAAAGTAAACCATGATTTTAAGAAACTGAGCGGCACAGGGTTGAGACATTGTGATTATACTGAGGAAAATCAATCACAATATACTACTTGGCTCTGCTGTGGACCAACATTTTCATAATGTTAATGCTGCTTATTGGTTATTGTCTATTACAACCAATTTATAGAAGACTTAGGTAGAGCACGGGGGCTCATGCCATAATCCCAGCCGAGGCAGGCAGATCACAAGGTCAAGAGATCGAGACCATCCTGACCAACATGGAGAAATCCTGTCTCTACGAAAAATACAAAAATTAGCTGAGCATGATGGCGTGCACCTGTAGTCCCAGGGAGGCTGAGGCAGGAGAATTGCTTGAACCTGGGAGGCAGAGGATGCAGCGAACCGAGTTCACGCCATTGCACTGCAGCCTGGCGACAGAGCAAGACTCCATCAAAAAAAAAAAAAAAAAAAAAAGACAATTATAGTTATGGAAGGTAATATAAATGTTATCTGTCATGGAAATGTGAAAGAGTATACAGCTTTGAAAAGTTTGGAGGTAGAGGAGTTTGAGGCTGCTGTGAGCTATGATTGCACCAGATGTACTCCAGCCTGGGCAACAGAAGGAGGCCTCATTTCTAAAAAAGAAGTTTGGAGGTAGAAGCAGAGGTGGGGAGTTCAAGAGAAGTAGCAGTTCAAATCTCCTCCTGTCATGAAATGGAGAGTCAAGAGGAGCTGTCCATTAATAGAACTAAAAACAAAAGTTTAAGGACATTAAAGTTACTGATGTAAACAATAGGACTAAAAATTGTGATGTAACTACCATATGCACCCTGTGTTTTGGGGGGTGAATTAAGCTGACTTTTCATCAGTCCTTGCAAGAGTCAATAATGTCACAAAATAGCAGCTTACTCATATTCATACAGTTGAAGATCATAAGGAGAATTTAAAACCACAGAAGCCAAAGTGATTGCCCTTTGAAAGTGGAACTGAGGCTGGGGAAATAAAAAGCAAGGAGCAATCGCAGGTCTTCCTCTACTTTTAACCTTTTTTAATTTTTCACTTTGACAAAACAAAATCCAAACATAACAATCCCAGCGAGGGTCAGAGATCATCTATTTTAATGCCTGAAAATATAATTGGTGAGTCATCTTGTAGCTGTTAGGAGAAGGATTTGCTCCTAGTGTTATTGGATCTCCAACCTTCCCCACGCCATTTTTTCCCTTCCTTGGGGATCCTAGATGGATCATACCCGCAGCTGCCCTGCCCTGCTAATGGTTCTCCAGTTATTCCAGCTGCGGCCTTCTCTCACGGCCTGCCTCTTCTCAGGATGCCACCTCTGCTGCCAGTGTGAGTGAGTATGGTGCCCCCCTCCATCCTGCTATCAATGTTGCCAGCTTCTCCCTCAACTGCTGCCAAAACATATCACATGGCATTTTATTATTATAAATTGATTGATAAAAGTTCAAATGTATGAACTTAAAAGTTTACTATTTTGCTCATAATTATATAATTACTTGTAATTAAAATTCTGCTTTTTCAGCTGGGCAAGGTGGCTCACGCCTGTAATCCCAGCACTTTGGGAGGCTGAGGCAGGTAGATCACTAGGTCAGGAGATTGAGACCATCCTGGACAACATGGTGAAACCCAGTCTCTACTAAAAATATAAAAATTAGCCAGGTGTGGTGGCACATGCTTATAATCCCAGCTACTCAGGAGGCTGAGGCAGGAGAATCGTTTGAACCAGAGAGTCCGAGGTTTCAGTAAGCCAAGATTGCACACTGCACTCTAGCCTGGTGACAGAGGTAGACTCTGTCTCAAAAATAAAGTTTTTTGCTTTTTCTGAGTTTATTTATTTATTTTTTTACCACAGAACCACTTTAAAAATAATTTTTCCCTAAAAATAAAGCAATTTATGCTCATTATAGAACATTTGAAAAAATTGCTCCATTCCTCTTCATCAACTTGGGGTACAAAATGAAATTTCGTTTGGTCAATATTAAATTAGATGGCTCTATAGGCCGGGCGCGATGGCTTAGCCCTGTAATTCCAGCATGTTGGGAGGCTGAGGCAGGCGGATCACTTGAGGTCAGGAGTTCGACACCAGCATGGCCAACATGGTGAAACCATGTCTCTACTAAAAATACAAAAAATTAGCTGGGTGTGGTGACATGTGCCTGTAATCTGAGCTACTTGGGAGGACTCTAGTGAGGCAGGAGAATCACTTGAACTCGTGAGGTGGAGGTTACAGTGAGCCGAGATCGGGCCACTGCATTTCAGCCTGGGCGATAAA